CTGTTCATGTTGGACAACAAATAATTTAGATGAAAAAATCTTACATTTTGACTCTTTTGGATGTCAATACCATCAGGTTTTGTGTCTGATGGAGGTGAAAAGTGACAGACTTGTGTTTTCAAACACCAATAAATTCCATATGTTCTTGTCGTATTTGTGTGTTCCAGGGAGGACATCGACAAAGTAGCAGGTCACCATTCTGACATCTCCAAGAAGCAAGAGGACAATCCCCAAAAACTCAAGTAAGGATATTGTCTCAAAGCTGTATTTTGAACACTGGTGGGATGCGATTCAAATTTTTTTATCTAATTAATGAGAGGCTTTGTAATTAATTATTGCGACTAATCACATTTTATCAAATATTAATATTTGACACAATAAGCAAAGTTTTTTAATTCAAATCAATTTTCTTTGACGACTGAATCAATGAATAGATATGCGGGAACGTAAACAACTAAAATGTTTATGTTTCATATATTTATCTGAGCATTTTTTCTGTCTACTACATACACAGATGAGTGCAAACTCAAAGTACAATTATAGCTATTATATTCACACAACCATGCTCTTCTCCAAGCTGCCTCATGGTTCGTGTCTACAGGATCCGTCAATTTCTTGCTTCTCATTCATTGTGTAGGTGAAACGAGATTCGAGTAACGATTCGAATGACGAGGCATAGCGTCACCTGTGAACTCATTTGTATAAAGTAGGGTTAGGGTTAGGGTTAGGGTTAGACTTGACTTAAACTTTATGCAAATTTGGCAAATTTTGGCCACGTAGCATCAGGCCCTGATAAGAAAAAAAAACTTTCCACTCAATGAGCCAAGCAATGTGGTCTCGTCTTCCATCACTGTTCACCAAACTTTCTTGTGTGGTGACGTCACAGAAATTAGGGAACTGACAAAAGGTGCAATTAAATGCATTATTATTTTAAATTTTTTCTGTAATTAATTTATCAAAATTGATGAGTGAAGTTCCATCCCTAAAAAAAAAACATTTTGTCAACTACATCAGACGTCAATACCATCTGGTTTTGTGTTTGACAGAGATGAAAAGTGACAAACTTCTGTTTTCAAATACCAGCTGAATCTCATGCAATCGTGTCTTGTTTGTGTTACAGGAAGGCCTTCGACAAAGTAGTGGAACGTAAACAAGAGGACAATTCCCAGAATATCAAGTAAGGATAATGTCTTGCTTTTAACATTTTGTTTAAAATTGTTTGAAAAGAAATAGAGGGACTACACATCTGACTTGTCTGTGTGTTACAGAGAGGTCATCCACAAAGCAGCAGAAAGTAACTCTGACATCTCAGAGAAGCAAGAGGACAAACCCAAAACAATCAGGCAA